TCTTGATCCTTTAAGATTTCAGAAAGTGTCTCTGCATTGAATTTAAGTAATTTTTAATCTTTCTTAAGCTGATTTCTATCCATATGAAATGCTGGACATAAGAAGAGAAGGTTTTCTAAAATAGCACTTATGAAGTTCATGGCCATATAAGTAAAAAAGGGAATCACAGCTATAGTACTCATCACATTTTTGGAAAGGGTTATAATATGATTTAAAATTGAAGCAATCACAATTAAATAAATTATTTGCTTGAAAGCCACTTTAAAATGCTACTGTTGATTGATAATAATGAAAAATACAGTTCTTGAATGACTGAAGTTTCAAATGGATGTCATTTGACCGAATTAACCTGAAACCTTCCTGTGCTGGGTGATTCTGTTATTGATGTGAAGATTATTATCTGTTTACTGTATAGAGAAATTTTCAAATGAAAATAAAATACAGTACTCATCTGTTTTCTGAAGGGCAATGCAATAATTTAAAATCCAAGCAATTAAAATTCAAAAGAATGTGTTGCTTGAAACACATTTAAAAATATTGCTGTCCATTGATGATAGAGAAGCATACATTTCTTGAATGAGAAGGAAGTGTCATAAGGATGTCACAAATTGGCCAAATTAATGCAAAAATTTTCATTGGGTGAGTCTGTCATTGTTCTGAGGATTACTTTTCATACACTGTCCTGTAAATGTTTTTATACTGGCGGTGATGCACTCTCTCAACAACAATATTATGTTTACAACTGTTTTCTCTTCATGATGAAAATATTTGTATCCCATAAATTTGTCTTATAGGGGTTCTCTACAATGGAATTCACTCTACCACAAATGGTTTTCTGGTCCATTGAGTTTTGTTGCATATAGGGTAGTGTTCCTCAAGCTTTATGGGCTAGTAGACCTGCAAATTTCCATAAAACATTTTGCTGACCAGCAAACTTCCAAAAGTTTTTGGCAGAACTGTTGAAGAAATGTTTTCAGAAAAAAATTCTTTTTTAATTTGAAAGACTTTATGGCAGATATTTAACAAGTTTCTGCTCTTTTGAAAAAAAATCAAGAACAAATGAAACGGCTATAGTAGAATGCTTTGAAAAATAAAAAGGTGCTGGGCTTCCAGAAACATTTCTCAAATTGAAAAAAAAAATTGTAATAATTTGTTTCAGCAGGTGAAAATTTGCCCCAAATATCATTAGAAGAGAGGCCAACTTCTATTTTTATCACATAATTTCAACTGCCATTGTCTTTACAAATTTTCAAATAAAGATTGAAGACTTCATTGCTACTTTTGATTTTAAAAAAATCATGCTGAAGAAATTTTCTGGCAGACTCACAAAAAACTTATTTGGGCTGGCCTTGGTCCACAGACCATGGGTTGGGGAACACAGGTACAGAGGAAATCCAACTAGCATATATATATAACTATATATTTTGAACTTTTGGGGTTCCAAGCAGACACTATAGTGCATTTTAAAATCTTTGGTACACAGAAAAAAGTATTTTACAGCATGCTGTGTTGAAAAATTTTTGTTTCTCCTTTCAAATGGCTGTACATGTGAATAAGTCTGAGAAATTTCAGGCAGCATAAGTCAGCACACTATATGCGTATACTGTAGTCAATTTCCTGGACTTAATCTGTTGCCATGGCTTCCACATACAGAAAGCAAGGCACACATGTGTCAAGGTACGCTTCACCAGGAAAGGAAGTTTAGACCGCACACATGCGTGATATGTGCCAGTTTCTTTCCATCCATCAATGCTTGCCATAGTCTATACTCATGACCAACAAATACTGTACTGTTAATTTTTTCTCTCTAGATTCAATCATTGAAGAATTTACCAGCAGCAATTTGAAGAAAGGTGTTTTAAAGGCATTTATCTTTTGTAGCTACAGTATTTCGTGTTGGAAAACAAACTAAAATGTTGGATAGTTTAGATTTTTAACATAACTAACTCCTTGGATGGCACAGGGTTCATTTGCATTGCAGGGTGGAGTCAGGATTTCTTTTTTGGGTGTGGCAAATTTCAGTTTAACACAAGCTCACTGAAATGCTCCCATCAGGTTGAGATTGCCAAAGTTGGGAAAAATCCAGGAGGCTAATTTTCTTTTGTTTTCAGTAATCTTATGCATGAAAATCCTATTCTAAGAATGCAGAAAAATTGGCCACCCAACAGTGAGGAATTTTTCTATTTCTTCATGAAACATTCTGCGGGATTAGAAAAAATATTGTACTTTTCCCAACTTATGCCTTGGTACAAAAGTAGGATTTTAAAATCTCCAGTGCTCAATGGCCCAAAATTTTGCAAAAATATCCTGATTTTGCCCCAAAAGGGCTGATTCACTCTAAAGTATTTCATACTTGTACCTAACCTATATTATAACAGCATAAACAGGACACTGCTGGTAGAATCACAAAGAAGATGTATTTGGAATAAAGCCTCCAAGAATAAGGCAGTATGGATTTACAGCTGCTGTGACTTTCTTAGTGTAAGGAATAGTGTAAGTCTAAGGAACCCAAATGAAAATCTTTCTATGATGATGTGCAAAATGCTCTACCACTTCAGGGAAAATGATTCTTATTGCTTCACATCACTTTCTTTAAAAAATCAGATATAATCTGCTATATATGAATTACTAGATGAGCCCCCAGTAAAGGTATAAGGATGTTGTATTTGTTTTAAAGAGAATACACCTCAGAGTAGTTGTTGTTACTTGGTTAAGATAGGGTTACAGCTAATGTGTATTTCAGCAACCTGCTATGGCCTCCTCCCTGACTATATCTTTTGTTATCAGGAATTTATAAGAAAGATGAAGCAGAAATATTTTCAAAAAATGTGATCTTTAGAAGTGCAGTAATTTCTTCTTTCGTGTCCTAGAGTATGATGAGAATACTATTCAAATCAACAAGATAATTTTTTTGGGAAGAAACCTATTACCAGAGTCAAAAAGGGGCATTTTACTTTTACTGTAAACTGTTGCAATGAAATTATTTATTTCAGTAAGATTCAAAACTTTTTTTCTGAACTTATTTACCGGGAAAAATGATGTGCATTGTAGGTGGGTACTATGTATAGATTTTTCAAAAAGTCTTGGAAGTTTAGGTGTGCATTATTAGAGTGAACTGTATTTTTTTTATACATTTTGCACAAATTTGTGCATGAAAAAATCATTTCCATGGGAATAAAACTTGTTGAATTTGGGTTCAGTTGGTGGCTAACTAATTCAAAGTTGGATGTTCTCCTCCTTGAAGTATTGCAGTTTTATGGTCACTGAAAATGGATTGCGCGCGTCTCTTCAGGAATATTATGAAAATTTAAGACTGGAAAACACTAGTGTGGTTCTTATATACTTGATGGTGCCTGCAGTGCGGCTGTAAATAGGATAACACCCTTTTTCCGAATGTATTTCGCAGATAAATGATTACCCAGAGTTCCTGAAGGCCCAGGACACTCAGAACCTCCTCCACATTTGCATAACTCACTCCACGGAGTCTCAAAAGCCCCAGGAAAGACCTTCTGATGGGTCCGTTCACTCCAGCCACGAAGATGTCTCTTCATCCCTCGCCTCACCCCTGCGAGTGGCGACGCTCAGCGAGAACGTGATGCTCAACAGCGAGTTGTGGTCGGGGGATGAGCAAGCCCAAGGGGCTGCGACGAAGCAGCGAAGAGACCGATCGCGACGCCGCCGGGTGGAAAATGTGGGAACTGCAGTGCTAGAATCGCGAAGTTTGTCAGCTAGGTGTCGCGATGATCAGTCGCAGCATTCGGACAGCGGATTCCTCGACAGCGCTGCCAATAGTAATACCACTGCTGCTGTCCTTGGAGAGGAACAAGGTGCTTATCTGCATAGGTGAGTTTTTTTTTTAATCTTCAAATTCGAAAAAAGATTTCTTTGTTAATTTTTTTTTTTACATTTTGAAAGAAATACCAGTGGTTATGACAGTTTGGATGACAGACAGTCACTGTCCAGTGACAGTTCCTCCAGCTCAGGATGCTCCAAAGCTCTGGCACCAAAGATTTTCCTCAGCCCTGACGAGATTCCAGAGGAAACCTGTAATAACTTGATTGTAGATCCCTGGCTGGCCAGAAAAAACAGGGCAGTTTCACCAGATGTCACACCCATCAAGAAGGTCCTCACAAGAACCCTGTCCATGCCAAGAACAAGTTCCAGAATGTCAGATTTCAGCTACAGAGCCATGAGACATTCCACAGGGGGTTTCAGAAAGTCTGAGTCAACTGACAGCTTGGAATCTGTGGTGAATCTGAGGTTAAGTTTGCCTGGTGGTTCTGCCACAGATTTAAGGTAACAATTTTTGAAATTTGCTGCTGGTGCTATTGAATGCTTTGCATCTGAAAATTTATTTCTCCCATGCAGGTCAAATGTTATTGCAGAAGAAGAACCCAGGCAAACAAAGCAATTTCATATATACATCCTCAATCAAGCCTCCAATCTGCCCCAGTGGATCAGGGTTGCTTGGACATCCAGACTTATAGTGAGTGGCTGCTATATACTACAAATATGCTTTATTTTGGAATTTTAAGCTGTGAAATGTGCTATACCAGTGCTACCCAATGTTTTTTGGCCTGTGAACTTGCAAATTTCCAGAAAAAATTCTGTGGACTGGCAAGTTTCATAGAATATTTGCAGAACCAAAAAGCTTTGTTGGAAAGAATTTATGACAGGTGTTTGAAAAGTGTCTGGCTTTTTGTAAAAATTAAGTCAAGAGCCAATAATGACCTGAATATAATGGAATCTCTTCCAAAATTTAAAAGTGCTGGGCTTTAAGAAAGGTTTCTCAGAATTAAAAATAAAAATATTTAATTTCAGCAGATGGAAATTTATCTGAAGTGTTATTATATGAGAAAAGCAATCTTTTACTCTTCATCAGATAATTTCAACTGCCATTGCTTTTCCAAAGTTCAAGATAAGACTGCATTGCTACTTTTCATGAATATAGCATGCTGAAGAAAATTTCTCACATACTGACAAAAAATATCTTTAGACAGGCACTATATTCTAAAGATTGGGGAACACTGTGTCACACACCTTCAAGGTTCGGGATTTAAAAATGATTTAATTTAAAAATGATTAATGATGTAATCAGCAAGGCATCAATCTGGCTTCTGCTCTAGAAGATCAGATGCTTGCTGGATTTTCAGAATAATGCTGCTATGCCTTATTTCTTTGTTTGGAACAGGAAGCGACATCTAGAAGAACATTCACTCCAGAAGCAAGTAATTTCCAGTCAAGAGAGAACTTGGAGTTGTTGCTTCAGGATTTGAAGGAAGACCTGATGGGGACAGAGAGACAATATGTTCAAGAGCTTGAAGAATCCGCATCAAAGTGTGAAAAGGATCATTTGATTCTTGTGGGAAGATACAAGTTCATCCAGGAGCTGAAAAGTGCTGCTAAACGGAGTTTGGAGTTGAGACACTTGTTCTGGAATGTCAGTATCAACATTTTTCGCTTTCTTAGGTGATACTAGAATATTTTTGAAAATTCACTCCTTTGAAGGTAAAAGGAAACATGCAGATAAGAGTTGTTCAAAAGTAAGAATAATGTGAAAGTTTTGATTTGAAAAAGTTTTTTTAATGGTTCTGCATTGTTCACTTTGACAAGCACACACCACAAATATTTGCCTTTCTTGGTGACCTGAGGTCTTTACAAAAGGTCTCAGCTTCCTTAAAAAAGTCCTACCTCAGTGTTAGAAAGCATGCATATTTCCTACCAAAAAACAATGGAAGTTGATTCTTTTTTTTCTGTGGGAAAATGCATTTCCTCTTTGCTTCCAGGATCCTACATTTTACCAGTATTTAGTATCAATACTTCCTAGAAAAACCTACAGAAGCGAATCTGCAGTGGAGCTACAAGAAGAATTGGAGCTGGTGAACCTCATACTGGACACTTTGTCCATTTTGATGCAGGGTGCTAATAATAAAAGCCATAATGCACAGGTGAGGAAGTTCTGATTAAAACTCTTTGAAACAAATAATTTCATTTTTAATATCTACAGATTTTATTGTCTGATACACCTCAGGGTTGCCAACACTGGCAACATCTCATGGAAATCATTTTAATGCCCACAATTAATACTGTATCTTCAGAGGATGACAGTGAAGAGGTCAGGTTCCTATTACTTTTTATGAGGATATTTTTTATTCATACTGTTTTTTTCTTCACACTTTTCAGTTGAATGAATTGATAATATCATCCATGGATGGCAAAGTATCTTTGGTGTTTGAGCTGCTGAAAACCCTGAGCCTGAATGTGGCTCAGCCCCTGCCAACCTTGCTGCAGACATCATTGAGCTCCATGGAGGAAAACACAGCAAGTTTTTCATGAATGAATGAATGAACAGAAAACTTTATTTGCCACTTTTCAGCGTTCACAAGGCACAACCAAGACTCCCGCATCCAAGCCCCTTCCCCACCCAACCCAACTCCCCCCAAAGACATTCAATCACTTCAAAGCATGAAACAAAGCACAAACCAATGACAAAAACAACAGAGAACACACTCCACAAAATAAAACTGGACATCCTACATGTATTCTGCATACACCCTCCCATCCCCAATATTGAAGACAAAGCAGCAGTAAAATTTTATTTAAAGCACCAGGTCTTCAGCCTGTTTCTGTTTTTCATGAAAAACATTTGAATGTTAATGAATTTCAGTGCATGAATAAATTTCCTTTTCAGTGTGTATTCCTGGAAAGTATGGCTGCAAGACTGGTGAACATTATGTGGCCTGGAGGACAGCCAATGAATCTTGGGCCTGAAGAAACGATATTGACTTACAAGTATTTTTTTGTGCTCAACAATTTATTGTTGTGTAGTGCCAATTCCAGGGAACATTGTAAAAGAGCCTGCAAAGCAGATCTTGAGTGAGTTTGATTTCAATATTTAAAAAATTGAAATCAAAATTTAAAGCAAACTTCTTTCTTTACCAGACTATGTGTACTGGACTCTTGGATTCTTCAGAAAGTGGAAAAATGTGCTCCACTGAAATCCCTGCTGAAAACTGAGATGGAAACTTTGAGGAAAGTTATTGGTCACTATTGAAAATGGCTGCCAAAAGTTCTCCAAGAAAATCAAGATGTTCATGGAGTCACCAAATGAGTTTGAAATTAATTGATTTTAGTGCCTGAAAAGGGTATTATGATGAAAGTGATAATTGATTGAGAAAACCGGTGAAAGAAGAATAAACCTCAAAATTATTCACTTTATGGCTTATTGTCTCATTGAAAATTCCAATGAATTGACTCGTTTTGGATCAGGAACAGTGCATTTCAGATTAGTTCAAAATAAACACTTCCAAACATAGTTGTCATTCGAAAGTCTCTCATAATTTTGAGACCTGCATTTCATAGTTACAGAACTCTGACATGGATGAACTTTGACAATATTCTGCTCTCCTTCATGGTGTGATGTCAATATTCCGGTGTTCCTGGCATCTGCAATTCCAGAGATAAAATATATTCATCACTTCCAGAACCCTCAACTCATCCACGAGCATTAGAAATTTAAATTGCATAATGATGGAAAGGAAAACAAACACACACCAGATGTCGCCTCACCAGGTATCAGAAGTGTCCTTCTGAAAGTCTACTCAGATGTCTGAGGATTCTACAAGAGAATAAGCCACAAGCAAAAGTAATTTCAGCAAACAAAACCAGCTTGAATGTCCAAAAAATGGCTCAAATCTAGAAGCAACCTCACAAAATATCACCCATAAAGAGGTTTAGGTTTGCACCTGTTGTGGTGCAGGTGTTGCCAGTGGCTTATGAACTTGGGGAGGTTGTTGGTGTCCAGTTAAACCTTGGCTTCCCCCTCTCATTGATCCCCACTCCAATTGCTGATCCAGTGTATGATCCACTTTCCTGCCTATGTACAACTGCTCCTCTGTCATGGTATGGAAATCTGGATTTTGAGCCAGATGATTCTAATGAGAAGCATGAGAATTAAATCAAGAACACAATCAGAAATTTGTTTTTAAAAACTGAAGGGATTTCATGGGACACATGAACTGACATTAAAAAGTCAAACATCCTTGAAACACAATGTGCATTTCATTTAAAAAAAATGTTGTGCTCAGTTATTCCCTCAAAAGAAAAACCCTCATTATTTTGAATGCCTATGGAATAATGCAATTCTTTTATGAAATTTAATATTCAGCGCATATTTAAACAGCAAACAATTTAGTTTTTCCTGTTTCTTTGACACAAATGAGTGAATTTAAATTTGTACGTGCTTAAAAACTTAATTCACAGTTGCAGGCTGTTCAAAGCTTGTTAAGTTCTTCCAGCAGTGATTTAAAAAAATGCAAATATTTGAAAAATAAGCTTGAAAGAGTTGCCAATATTTACCCTTTTCATAGTGTTGTCATAGCTGAGTCCAGGATATGGTCCTCCTGGCAACACAAGATTTTTCTCAAAAGCCACAGCTCTGTATGTTGGTTGAGCCATGTTTTGACCATTCTGTAGAAAACATGAGCATTCAGTTTCATGAAACAATTTCATTTTGCTATCATAAATAATTTACAGGATTGAAAGGCATCACTCTGGGCTGCCTTTTCTTAGACTTTATGATGATGGCAATGATGACAAAAATGAGGAGCAAAAATATCACTCCTCCAGCAACTGCTGCTATGATCACTGGCAGTGATTTTTCCTTGGTATCTGGAATAAACAACAAAGAACGTATGTGAACTCATATTGCAATGCTTTAATGATTAATAAATAATTTTAACCTGTAGCTGGTTGGACTTGAGTCAAATTCTGAGCAGGGATGGCATACTTATTTCCATTCACATCAGTCACCACTAGGTTCCCAGAAGCCACAACATTCTTTAAAAGATCCAACTGTGCTTGATCAGTCACAGCAAATTGCAGAATTGTAGGATATGCTGAAATTGAATACAGTATTACAAAATTGTTAATCCCAAAGTCAAGGAAAGATTCATCAAAACACAAGCTTACCAGCTGTGGTATCATTGGAAGTTGCTCTCTTTCTCCTGCCAGCTGGTGCTGAAGGTTTTTTGCCTATGTAGAAAAATTCCATTATCAACTTTAAAGTATCCAAAGTAATTATATTGAAGCTGTTTTCACCTTCAATCAGCAGCACATCTCTGATGGAGTTCTTAAATTGATTGTTCAGCTGACCCTTGATGTGATTTTGAGCCACTTCAGCTGTCCTGCCACCAAGTACAGTAGTGTACTGCTCATTCATTCTGAAAAAAAGATAAATTGATTTACAATATGCTAGAAAATGTTAATTTATGTGAGAAAAACACTGCAAAATGTGCAAAAAATCATGCAAAAATATCCCTGGAGATGTTCATCTTGGAACCTTACCCAATTTGCACAGGTTGATATATTGTTGTACCAGCAGATATTTGGGCCTGTGTTGTAGATGTTGCAGCTTTGATGTAGATGTTGCAGCTTTGGATGTAGATGTTGTGATAGGCTTTGTTGTGGTTGCTGCTGTTTGTGTGGTTGCATTTGTGGCCAAAACAGTTACTGTTGTAGGTTTGACAGAACTAGTTGAAGAATAAATCATTGGTGTCCCTGCTGCTGTTGTTGACTCTGTTGAGTTGCTGAAATTGTGTTTTGAATTGATGCATTTCACACAAGAACTGCTGGAAATGTCATGCTCAAGCCAAACCACAGCAAACCCAAACACAATGATGCCTTCAACAATGTAGAATATATTAATACGGAAATTATCCTGCACGGGTTTCAATTTTGTTTTCAAACGGTGTTTAGGCACATAATAATTTGCAAAAGTTTCAAATTTTCCTCCACACACAATAAAGTCATGGAGCAAAAGAGGCTGATTGCCTTTTTCCTCCTATAAGTTCTATTTACTAAATCAATCTCAGTTCAAGGCATAATTGTGTTCTTTTTTTTTTACCATATGAGGGGATGGAAAAGTGATCAAACTCACCCAACCCTCACTGTGGCAACAACTTTTGGTTGGGTAGTGGTAGTAGTTGTTGTCTGTGTTGTGGTAGATGGTGGAGCTGTTGTTGCAGCACCTGCTTTTGTTGTTGCTGCTGAGGCTGTTGCTGAGGCTGTTGCTGAGGCTGTTGCTGAGGCTGTTGCTGAGACTGCTGTTGTAGCTGCCCCAGGAGCTTTTGTAGTAGCTCCAGCAGCTGTTGTAGCTGGAGGTGATGTCATTTGTCCTGGGGGGACATAGCCAACTGGATATTTTACTCCAAGTGGATCTGCAAATACTCTGAAAGGAAGAAGATATTTGTAGATATTAGTATACAGGTGGTACCTCACAATTTGGCCTCCTGCAATTTGGCTGTCCTGCAATTTGACAGTCAAATTTGCAGATAAATTGACTTGCAATTCAACCCTTGCCCCACACTTTGTGTGGCAAATTTTTTGATGGCAGAAATTTCTGAGATAGGGGAGACAAGTTTGGGCTCTCCCCAAAACTTGCCTCCTCTGCCCTTGGAGACTTCCTAGGACAGGGGGAAGCCCCGTTATTCCCAGGACTTCCTGGAGGGGTGAAATTCAACCTCCAGGGTCTGCTAACACTGTTATTCTTGAAAAGGGGGTGCAATCTGATCTACAAGATCTTTTCTGTGAAACCATCTGTCCTTTATCTCTGAGGCCATCTGTGGCCAACCCATTTTTTGTACCCTTGAGGATAGTTTTCTTGGTGACTCTTCTCTCACCATTTTCATCACTTTTTGAGAATCTTCCAACAGATAACGCCTCCAAAACCTCCAGAAAACTTGGAAAAAGTGTACTATGTGAATTATTGAAATATATCAACTTTAAAATAGGGTGTTCAGTCACCCTGGTTGTAGCCCAACCAAATTCATGAGTTTTATTTTAAACACCAAACATTCCTCTCAAAATTCTTCACACTTCAAACTGCTTCGGCCACTTTTTTGCATTTTTGTACTGACGTTTTGGAATTTCATGAAGTGTCTTTCAATTTGACCCTAGTTTGGCAAAAGATTTCAGCTTAATTGCAAGGTACCATGCACCTGTATATTATGAATAAGACAGGAATATAAACCTATTCAAGGACGATTAGCAAAATGTCTAGCAGAACTACAGTTCTAAAATCAATACTGTATCAATCTTTTGAGCATATCAAGTTTTCAGCTGATGACTTATTGTGTAAGGGTTTTTTGTTGCTTCAAACTGTGGAACTAAAAATGAATGGTGCTGGCCAAGAAAAGTGAAATATACAAGATTCCTGTTCAAGGTTGTGAATACTGTATACCCAATGAATCCAGTTCGGTCACATGAACAATCCAAAGTCATGTTAGCAGTAGTGTTCAAGTTTCCTGAAGTGCAGCTAGTGTTGGTCCATTGACAGTTAATCCATTGATGACACTGTGAAAACACAATGAATCAAAAATGTTGAAGGCCATCAAGCATAATGCTCTATATATATATTTTTTACTTGGTATCCTTCTCCAGCTGAAATAGGTCCATCCAATGGTACCCTCAATGTAAAGCCAGGAGATGCAATGACTGTTTGTGGAATGAAGGCTCCTGTCACAGGATTGATCATCCTGATTTCATGGATGGCACTCCTGAGGACAGAACAAGACTGTGGTGATCATTTTTTTTCAGTGAGGATTGGTGAATTGCTGACAATAATGTTTTGTTGACAATTGGTAGGTCTAGTTGATCTCTGACTTCTTCCAACCAATCCCCAGCATATGCGGTTGCTGCCAAGCATGTCCCAGTGCAAATGACACTTGCATCACTTGGATTGCACTTCCATTGTGAGTAGGCATTCACCAAGGTTGAATTCAGAATAACCTGAAAAGTTGTGTATGAATGAGTATAAAAAATAAAAGAAGTACCACGGTTTGATTTTGTTTCTCACTGAGCTTGAGCCATCCAAATAGAACCCCAAGTCACTTTTTGCAATCAAAGGGATTCCAATTGTTGCTCTTCCTGTGAAATCTTGATTAAGAACAGATACAATGAAATTATCTCCAGCCTTTCCAATGATGGGTGCAGCCTTTGAACCAAGAGTCAGATTCAAGCATATGAGGCTTTGTGCAGAATGAGCCAATTCAATGATCTTCTTCTTGGCATCAATGATGCTGTTTTGAGTTGACAGGGACAACTCATAAGTTGCAAAAGAAGCTGTCACCATGTCATACGTCTATATATATATCCATGGAATCAACAATGTATTTCAATGTCCTGCATCTCATCCACAAAAAGTCACAGATTTACCATTGTTGATGAATTAGCAACTCTATCCAACCCAAGATCTGATGTGCAACTTGTCACATCTGTTTGAACACTTTGTCTCTTGTTTCTTATGTGTGGAACCTGCTCATGCTCAGCTTCCAACTCGTTGTAGCTTGTTGACGCTTCCCTTTTCTGGAAGAAGATGAAGTACAGTAGAAGTTTTTATTTTTGTTCATGAATTTCAATAACCTTTCTTCCCATAGCCATAGTGCTATTGGCACTGTAGTTTGTTGTTAATGAGGTGGCAATAAGGGAGTCAACAAGTCCCACAAGGCTCTTCACTGTTGAAAGAGAGTCTCCAGGGGACATCTTCAACATTCCATCAGCAGTGCTGACAGCTTGAGACATAAAGTTGACCAAAGAGGTCCTTTGGGATGCATCTTCCAAGTTATTTAACCTGAATAGGTGAATTTAAAGTATTGTCATTCTATTGATGCCACTCAAACCTTGCATTAGTCATATACAGTTATAGAGGACTCATGGAAGCTGATGAAAAAAATATCAATATAGTAACTCACTTGACCAATTGACTGCTGACTTGGGATGCCACCACACTTTTGCAGACATCCAGCAGCATGTGGAGACTTGCATTTGAAATACCACCTTCAGTGTCATTAGAAGGCATTACAGACAATAAGGTGGACAATTTTCTCAGACCCTCCACAGGATATCCTTGCAGTGTTGGTAGAACATCATTGGTCAAGGTGATTTTCATGTCCTCTGTTGTCAGAGAACTTGTCTCCACAATCACTTTAGGCCCTGGCTGCTCTCTGCAGGCACCAAGGGAGTCACAGACCTTGACATAGATTGTGGCCTCTCTTTCATTGTTCCCTTGAAAAAAAATGAATTGGTTTTGTAGCTTTCTGAATAAATATACAGTTGAACCTCTCTACATTGAATTTCAAGGGACCCACAAAAAAATGGACTTACAGGGGTTTCTACTTACGGATCAATGTTGTGACTTTTTATATTGGAGGTTTTGACTTGGGGAGGTTTCAACTTAGACAGGTTTTGACTTAGGGAAGATTTAATTTATATACTCTAGAAGCTAGATGCTTGACTTATGGGATCAACCTTTTTTTATAATAGGAAACATTGAAAATTTGCACCAAGTTGAACATTACAATATTGTGAGCCTTAAATTGCTTCTAAAATGAGTTGACAGGTTGCTGAACTTGAATATACGATTTTGTTTGTCCAATTTAGTCTTTCACATCCTTTCAAAGAACATCAAATTATATTTTGTAATGTTTTCTCTTATTTCCTGTTACAATAAAATAATTGTCAAAAGGCTTCATATTCAAATTTTGCTGGAGATGTTAGAGGAAAAGCCTTTGAGTTAAGGAGGTTTTTAGTATATTTTTTCTAAAGGAATTCAGACAGGGACTTGAAGATAACTTGACTTAGGGAGGTTTGACTTAGCAAGGTTCAACTGTATTTGAAAAGGAATTGGAATTTTTCACATGAGATGCTTGAGTGTCACAAATTTTCTCTCAGAAGAAAAACTGATACACAAAGCTGAAACATCAACTCAATAACCCACTGGGATATACAGGTGGTACCTTGCAATTTGACCTCCTGCAATTCAACCATTGCACAATTCAATGCAGGAAGGTTGACTTGCAATTCAACCTCTGCCCCAGAATTTGACCTGCTTTGGCCACTTTTTTGTTGTTGCATTTTTGTGCTTCTATTCCTTAATTTTTCAAAGTGTCTCACACTTTGACTGCTTTGAAATTTGACCCTAGTCCAGCAATGAATTATAGTCAATTTGCAAGGTACAGTACCACCATTACATTGTTGAAGGAACAAAGCAAGAATATTGACAAATTCAAGAAAATGGACAATGAAAATGAATCAGGAAGGAAAATGAGGTCAGATAATGTAATGAGTATGTTAAAGAAAAAACTCACTTGAAGGAGGGAGAGTCATGATGACCTGAGGAGCTCCATTGAAAATGAACTTGGAGTAAGTGACTCTTTCATCTCCTTTGTAAGAAAACCCAAAAGCATAATTCAATCTTGAAAACTTTCCCCCAGAGCCACCGGTTGTGATTGGGAAATTATCCCACCAGTATGGTGCCTTGATTGGTACTTCTGTCACTAGAGCTTTGATTGTCTCATACCCATCTTGCACCTGCTCAAATTCTATTTTAACCAAAAATGCAACCATCAAAAATAAAAATGAAAATCACCTGAACTATCCCAGGCTTGGGGGCTCCATTCACAAAAATCTTGATGGTGGCAGATGACTCAGGCCCAGAGTCTTGAACAGCTCTAAGTTTTACAAGGTACATTGAATCTCCCATCAGGGTCTCTTGCTTTTCATGGTTCCTGTGGAAGAAGAAGAAGCAGAGCTAAATCTGGTAATGACATTCAACCTTGAAGGTAGTTGGGGTATGCTTTCCACTGAGGCACAATGAAATCATTTCTGCAAAAGCATATTTGGTACTGCTTTGAAGGACACAGAGGTGATCAGCTAAAATATGTATGCAATTCACATTACTTGTAAAAACAAAGTGGCTGGTAAAAACTTCCACACAAAGCCAAACACATTCTGTGTTGATTGTAAGGGACATATGTTGCATTTGAAAATCTTTACTTTGCTCCTAAAATTCTTAGGTGAAATATCCATGCAAATTTTGCTGCATAATGAGAAATTCCATGGTATTCCCCAATTATGTAATACCCTGTTCTTTGTCCATTTTCTTAGCCCAATTCAGTCAGTATTTTTTGGAAATTTTTTGCATTTGATTGTACCATGATCTTTCTGCATGATTTGAGTTTTCAGTTTGTGATCTTTTGAAATTTACTTTCTAACTTCACTTTGGAATTTTTGCTAAGAAACCCCCTTCCTGTCATCTTCCCTGGTGGATTGTGCATTTGTTGTTTATTCATAATTATTCATTGTCTTTGTGATCTGTGCTCCGCAATGATCTTGTTCTGTAAAAATTTAGTAGATTAAAAAATTAATCTAAGGTTATTTTTTGCTTTTTCAAAACGTGGTTTTTTAGATTAATTTTTTAATCTACTAAATTTTTGTGTGCTTTTTAGTCTTACTTGAAAAACGTGGTTTTTTAGATTAATTTTTTAATCTACTAAATTTTTTTGTGCTTTTTAGTCTTACTTGAAAAACGTGGTTTTTTAGATTAATTTTTTAATCTACTATAATTATTTTATTCTTTTTAAAAAATATTCTTATAATTATTCTTTTAACAAAAGATTGCATTGTCATCAGTTTCTAAGCTATCCTGAAAGTTTCAGCTTGCTAGCTAGTTGGGAAGTGAGCGAAATTTGAGTTGCAAAATTTGATCCGGACAAACAAACAGACAAGAAAGCAAGTTAATAAAAACGTGTTAAAATAGGTTATCAGCATAGAGCCAGTAATGCATTTTATTTCTCATAAAATTCCAGCTAAAACCTTCTACTGGGTCTTGTTCAGATGTGCCTGCAAAACCACAGAAATGTCTAACTCATACTTGAAACATGAAGGAAATTTTTACCTTGAAATCCTTTTTCTCTGATGCAAATAAGGCACATTTTATCTTCTGCCATGCAAAAACATTTTCCTTGAATGTGGACTGATCAATTAAAGTGTGAAAATTACAAATTAAAGTGGATTAGATTTTTCAAAAATCGTATTCCAAAATGGAAAGTTCTGCAAGGAGTGCATGCTTACTTTTCACCAGCTCCAGGAATGCTCAATTGAACCAAGCTGTTTCTCCAGTTCTCTACAACTCCACAGGACATGGCAGGCACTTGCAGGAGATTGTAACCTGTGAAATGATAATAATTGTCTATAAACATGTAATGCAGGTATAGTACCTTGCAATTTGACCTCCTTTAATTCAAGCGTCCTGAAATTTGACAGTCAAATTTGCAGCAAAGATGCAATGTTGACTTGCAATTTCAATCTCTGCCTCAGAATTTGACCCGTATTGGCCTTTTTTTGCATTTTTGTGCTGATATTTCTCAATTTTACAAAGTGTTTTGCAATGTGACCCTAGTGCAGCAACAGATAGGGTCAAATTGCAAGGCACCACCTATATTTAAAAGGCAGTAAGCATTTCACACACCAAGAGGAACCAAGGACTCCCAATAGACTCTCAGCCCAGGACTGTTGCCAAATACCCTTGCTTCTAAAATGGCCCCTTCCCCTTCATTCAGCATGTTATTCAGAGGGCTGGTTAGGACCAAAGTGGGGCTTCTGCCAGCAAAAATTTCCACCGTAAATGTTTCCATCTTGGCATTGAGACCACTGGTGGGTGTGTAGACCCATGCAGTAAACCAGTACCTAAGTAATCATAACAATGTCAAAAATTTCTTATTTTCATAAGTACAAAAGAAACTCACTTTCCTGGAGGCAATTTCTTTTCTGGTACAGCAAGACATTGCATGGACAGTGCATTGGTTCCCAATGAGCCTGATGTCAGGTCATTTTCAAGCCTCAAGCCATTGTTGGTTGTTGCACAAGCAACTTTGGTTCCGTTCCTCTCAACGTGACACGACCATGTCCACTAAAATTTGTTAAAATTAAATTTGATAATCTTGAACATGACATGTTTCCATTACTTGTTCATCATCATCTATAAAGTCCCTGCAAACATTGAAAGCTGTCAAACTCCCAGTAGTCAACTGTGGCAGCCAATCCTCAAAGGTCTCATTTGCCCCCAGGATGTCCACTGCTGGGTCCACATACACAGTTTTTGAAGCCTGAAAAAAAAAAGTTTTAAAAACCAAGCATGCCCTAATATTTATGAAGAAAGCCCACTGTTGCATAAATTGATGGGTCAGTTGAACTGTAGACAGTTGCTGATATATTGTAGATTGCCCCACTTGACAGTACAAAAGGATGTATTTTGAGGATTGATCCAAACTCTCCTGCTGCTGATGGTATTCCTGTGATGCTCCAAGCAAACTGTTGACAGGACAGTATGGAAATTTCAGTATGAAGACTAAGTTAAATTTTCAATGGATTATACCTTCAAATCTTGAGAAGCCCCAGAGCACAAAGCAAATGTTTCCAATGTAAAGACAGCAATTTCATTTGCTGCAAAGTTGTCTGGTCCTCTGATGAAAATAGTTAAAGTACTATCTGTCAAAGTTGTGGTGAAATTCTTTTGGGTCATCTGTCCTTGCCAATTTTTCACAGCTGCAATAACAGTCACTGTAGTCCCTGCTGTGACCTTAAGTATGAATAGTTCACATTAGAAAAATGGATCTAAAGATCTGTTTGTAAATCATGAACCTGTGTTGTGCTGAGCAGTTGGAAGAGGGAAGCATTTTCTGTTTTGGAAACCCCAGTGGCATCTACCCAAGTCTTGCTCATGTCTTCAAATTGTAAAACTTGACCATTTTCCATCATGGCTGTCCATTCAATAGACACTGGGCCTCCAGCAAATCCCCTCAAGTGCATAATTTCATACATAGCCAAGTCCTCTCCACCAATTCTGCACACATACTTGTCTCCTATCAGTTCAAACTCTGGCTTGATCTACAAGAAATATGTACAACATGTTTTACCTGCATGTACTAAATAGAAAGTTTTTATTAAGGACTTACAATTGGTATTGGATTTTGAAGTTTGATGGTCTTGGTTTGCATGAAAGCTGTGACATTGGTAGCAAGAGTACATCCAGTGAAGAAAATATCCAAGGGCAGTTCAATAATGCTTGAAGATCTTAGAGAAGATGCCAGTTCTGTGGAAAACTGCACCTCCAATTCATTCCCATTGCACTCAGTGTCTAAAAATATTCAAAATTGCTCAAAAGTTGTTCAATTTTCCAAGTGTGAGATTCAGTTATACTCACTGTTCAACAAAACTTTTGCATTGAAGTCAGAACTTGTGCCTGGTTTACAATCTATGTTGTCTGAAAATTCAATCAATGCTCTTTGCAAGTTCCCTCCTTCCTGTTTAAACTCCAGACCAGTTATGTTGTTGAAGGGCTTTCTTGCATTCATGATGAAAGCATCAGTGGCCAGACTGAGGATCCATAAAATCAGTAATATGTAGTAGTAATTGAAATAAATTTTTTAAACAAAATAACCAAACTCACTGATGAAGATGCTCTTCATTCCCAGGGGTCAGAATAATCCCAATAGTTCCAATGAACGGTCTTAGGAAAATTCCTTGGGATGAACAAGTCACAGTTTTCTGGTCATCCCTCAAAGCTGTTGATAAAATTCGCACATTCTGTGCTTGACTTCCAACTAAAAAGCAGCTCGGTTTGATTCCTTGTGGCAGAGCATCTTTCAATTGAGCAGCCACCTAAAAAAGAAATTCATTTCAAAAGTTGAAGCATTGTATAAAATGCACTATAGTGAGAAACTTACAGAGAATTGAGAATCACTAAACAAATTAGTTGTGGAGTTGAGCCAGGTTTTAGTCACTTTGCTGGAATCAACAACCCAGAAATTGTCTGTAGTCCTAGAAAAATTTTCCGCTTTGGAAGAGTTAAAGTCAGCCCGAATATTCCCAGTTCCAGAGAAGGCAAAGGTCAGTGGGTTCCAAACCAAGGAATAACCCATAGGAATCCTGGCAATTTGCTGAATTTGCTGCATGAACTTGCCCTGAAATGTATGATGGGGCTGTTTCACACTGTGCATAATTTTTTCCCCACAAAAAATTACACTCACATCCTGGGACTGAAAATAGAACCTAACTGAGCTGAATGGTGGAACATTTTTGCCCAACAAAACCTTCTGCTTGTACTGTGGTCCAAACCTGGCAATTTCTATGATGGAACCAGCAGCAACATTGATTTTGTCACATGCTGGGAAATCATGGAAAATTAGTTGATCATGCCTCTCTAAGGATAAAATAATATTTTACCATTCAATTTTGGATCACCCTTGGTCAAGCAGGCCCCACACAAGTCCATCTCGCTTGTGGCCAAGTCACACTTCAATGCAGAAGCATTTGATGTACTATTATTGTCACAGGTTATTGTACTTGATGAATTTGTGACACATGTCCCACATCTGAAAAAGCATTATTATTATAATCATTAATCCCCAAATGCTGAATCCATGTAAATGAGGATGGTATACTCAGTCAAGAAAGATGTAGATGTTGAACCACATGTGAAATGTGAAGTCCCTTGTACTTCACAGGTTTTTGTGCTACCTGAACCAATGAGGGAGTTCATGAAGGAGTTTGAAACTGCTGGGCATTGCAAAGCACAGTCATGAGTGACTGCTTGTTTTCCAGTGGTGCCACCAACACAGGTTCCACAATCCAAATATGCCTCTATATATATCAATTAAAGGATGAATACTTCATTATCAAGCACAACATTTCCCCAAAATTAATCTTGTCTAGTTTATTATTGGAGCCTTATCAAGGGATCTTGAATGATTCTGAGGTACAGTTTATACAGAGATTTGATTCAGGTTTTGTTTAGCATGTTCAATTTTCTAGTACATTTTAAACTTTCCAATATCCCATTTGTTAACCACATAAGGTCTGACAGCTGCACAGTCTGCACTTCAAAACATCACTGTTTATACACTATGAGTTGTTTTTCCTAGATTTCCTGGCTCAAGTTATCTGCCTTTTTAGATTTATAAAGACATTTCTGGTTTAATGCACAACTTGAAAGATTACATACTTCCATTTGGTGTGCTGGTGCAGTCCATGCAACTCTTTCCATTTCCTCCACAGACCCCACAAGCATCCACTGTTGGAGCATTTCTGCCAGTAAACACTCTTCCAAAGCAATCAATTTGATCCAGGTGCATGACAACTATATCTGTTGATAGACTTGATCTGCTGCCACAGTCACCCTGAAAATATTCTCATAATCATGTATATAAGTCAAAACTTGAAGTTAATAAAGAAGTTCTGTGTCTGATATTTTTTTCTCAGAGTAAGAAATGATTCAATTTTAATGTGGAAAAATTTTGTAGACTTGATCCTTATTCAGAGAAGTGACTCAACCTTGTGAGCAATTGGAAAAAATCCATATTTTTGCAATCACGCTTTTGTTTTGATTCATAGTATACCCAGCAATTGAATTCAAAAGAATTACCATATTTACTCAAGTACCACGCGCCCTCAAGTAAGGAGCGCACAGGTGTTTTTCAGTGGAAAATTTTGCAAAAATCTTATCCCCAAGTGAGACAAAAACCCCAATTTTTAGTGAATCTAAAACCATAAAATTTCAACAACAAAAAACAAAAAATTTGCCTTCAGGCATGAATTGAAAAAAATCTGATCAATTTTCAAATTTTTCAGTACAAAAATGTTTTCTTTTTACGGCATATTTGTTCCAAATTTCTCCATTATAATTAAGTATAATGCAAACATAACTTCCTAAAACTTCTTGAAAATGTTGTACCCACTTTTGCCACACACCCGTTTTTTTCTTCTGAAATTTGGGGAAAAAGGTGCGCGTGGTACTTGAGTAAATATACAGTATTAAAGCACCCATTTTGAAACTCTAACCCTATGTTTAATTCATTATACAAACAGCATTTCCAGAAAAAATAGAAAAACACTCACAGGGTTGTTGGTGGATGAATTCATGCATCTTGGCAATGTTATCTCCACCCTTGCATCAGCTGAGACATTATCACTGCCATCCCATCCCAGCATCCAAAGTTTGGTGGAGTTTGCCAAATCCAATGGCATCAAAGCACCTCTTTGCTTCTTGACAAACCTAAGCTCATCATCTGGCTGAAGATATATTGGCCTGACAGTGGAAACACTGATGACTGCACTAGATTCATCCAACCAGGTCATGTCATTGGTCTCTGACAATCTATTGAAAGCTTCTGCAACTGTAGTAGCTGGGGCTATTCTGATGCTCTCAAGTTGAGTGCAGTCTGATGGACTTGCACCTGCCTGAATTCTGTTGTATTCTGCTTCAGAGTTTCCACTGAATAATAGAAAAAGTACCAAATGAGCCAAATGCAGTTATTTTCTTGAATAAATAAATCCTAGACTAACTTGCAGGAGAGGATTTGCAGGGAAGCCAGAGAATCAAGTCTTCCTCTGTAGCTCAGTTGTTTGCCATTCCTGTCATAGCCAGTCATTGGTGGAAAATCAGTGCTCAACCCATCAAATGTCTTCCAGGTAGTTTCCTTAGATCTTTTGTATTCCCATTGGCCAACAGATGGGGTTTTACTTGCTGCCAATATGACCAAACCCAGCCTGGAGCCTGCATCTTGATCAGAGAAAAATATCCCAGCAAGAGTTTGAGCCCTGATGGAGTCTCCAATGAGTTCATCTATGGACAGCTTTGGCAACCCTGTTTCATCAAAGTCAGTGATGGCCACTGGGGCATTGTTGCTGTCCACCACCTATAATGAAATGAAATATTAAATTTTTCTGGTTCAGCCAATATTTGCTTGGATTTTTGTAGACCTTCAGCAAGAGAGTGGTGGTATTTCCATAGACTTTTTGATCATCAGCAAGAGTGAAATAAGCTGTCAGGGAAACCTCAATGTCTCCAGATTGTTTTGGTAGGACCTGGAATTCATCCATGCTTTGATCCTTTATCCAAATATCTGATCTGGGATCCATCACAACCAAAGATTGCCCTTGCCCATCCCTTGATCAAAGAATATATCTTTTAATAATGTGAATTTGAAATCAGCATTAAAACCATTACTCACAGAGACCAAGGCGCATAAATTAGGTCAGCAGAAACGTCTTGCTTTCTTGAAGGTTTCTTGGCAAAAGAGATTTTCACTCCTTTGTCAACATTTGCATCAAGCTGTGACATGAGCATCATTTTCACTGATTTGAAGCCTTCATTGGACATGTCTACATTTTCAGATAGCCTTTTCAATGTCTCATACACTGAAATAAGTCCGAAGAGGCTTGATTATTGCACATGAAAAACCAAAAAAAAATTCAGACTCAACACACTCATCATTGCATCCAAGGCATCCATGAGGTTATTAAAAGTAGTGTCCCATTGTGTGTTGAAAGAACCAATGTTCCATGGATTCAATTGCAAATAGTCTCCTTCTTGAATAACAACAGCTGATGACATATTTTGGAATTCATTGAAAGCATAAGTGATCATATTTTGAGATCTCAGTCCCAATGTCAAGTTTGCTGGCAAGGATGTGATAACAAGGGTCCTCTTGATGTTGGAACCTCCTATACAAAGAAAAAAACTTGAGAAAAATTGACCTTTTTGATGCAGACTTCTTTTTACCAATAGTTTCATTCAACAGTATTGTAAACATTCCTGTTTTGGCTGCAGTGACTTGCAAAAGGCTCCTTTGGGAGTTTATTTGATCCCCTGATGTCAACCTTTTTCCATCAATGGCAATTTGAACTTCTTTTGGCACTAAGTCCAGGACAAGAACCTATAGAAAGCACATTATCAAATGATTGGACTTTCAACAAAAAGGTGCTTTGAAGTTTACTTGGTTTCCATAGTTTGGACTCTCAGCAGAGGTCATGAGTGATTCAATGGTAAAGTTTGATGTCTGGTTGGTGATGGAAGGTGGAACAAACCAGAACAAACCTCCTGAGCGACCTGGAATTCAGATTGAATTGCATTGTAGGATTTAATTGTTTCAAAGATCCACAGAATCTTACTGGTATTTGGACAAGATGTATCATTGGAGCATCTGCTAGTTTGTGTACAGTAGAATACCCCAGGTGGGCACATCTCTTCACAGTTTTCAGTCCTTTGGACACACTGCTTGCTGTTGGGACAAAGCCTGTGAAAAAAAAATATTCAGCATGTTATTCTATCAAAAGATTAAAGGTTACTTAAGGTTATTTAAAGGTTACTTAAGGTTATTTAAAGGTTACTTAAGGTTATTTAAAGGTTACTTAAGGTTATTTAAAGGTTACTTGAGGTTATTTAAAGGTTACTTAAGGTTATTTAAAGGTTACTTAAGGTTATTTAAGGTTACTTAAGGTTACTTAAAGGTTACTCAAGGTTACTTAAGGTTATGTAAATGTTACTTAAGGTTATTTAAAGGTTACTTAAGGTTACTTAAGGTTACTTAAGGTTATTTAAAGGTTACTCAAGGCTACTTAAGGTTATGTAAAGGTTACTTAAGGTTATTTAAAGGTTACTTTTTGCCACTTTTGCAGACTTCATCCTTTTTGTCAGCAGGTGTGACACAATTTCCTGCACAACAAACAGCAGCTGTTGAAGAGCAACTTTGTGTGTTGGTACAACTCTGGCCAGTCTGAATGAGCTTCTTTGTTTGGCAAACCTTGAAATCAGTGAGGGAAGCCAAATCAATGCTTGTGACATTCAGAGTCTCTCCATTGTTGGTGACACATGATGTGAAGCCACCACCTGGGGGGGACAAGTTTCAGTCACTCATTTCCCAATAATGGGAGACAAAAAATACATAATGTCAACTTACTGCCTGGACAACAAGAAGAAGCAAATGTGGGACAATCAGAGTCTGCAAAGCAAACACTGAAGGTGGCATTGTTGTTCTTGGATGCATCCCTACAAGCGTGCTCTTCATCTCTGTTGCCTTTTGAAGATCTACAATCACCTGCTTCCATGTTATATACCATTCCATGTTTACATTTCTTGCTCTTTCTTCTTCTGGGACCCTCCATATTTCCTTCAGGAACACATGAATTGGTTTCCAAGCACCAGAAAGTTCCTGTGGGGCATCTTGACCTGCCATCTGCTGGGCCATTGCCTGATAATCCTGGAGAAATGCATTGCCCTGATTGTTGGCAATACACTGTACCAATTGGACATGAAACTGGTTGGTCATTGACACCTTCTTCAGAGCCCATAGGAACACAAGACCCAATTTCTGGGCAGTAAACCTTTCAAAGGGGAAACAATAATTTTCGGTTGTGTATAATTAAAAGCAGCCATTTTTGAATGCGTAATGTGCATGTCTCAAGGCCCAGTGTTCTATTAAAAGTGTACTTCTATGTTGCCATGACATCAGAACTAGAAGAAAAGCGCTTGCGGTGGATCAATAATGCTATCATTCCTTTTGTTTCCTTTGCATCATTGGCGCAAGCATTTATATACACTGTAAACTTCTTTCATGGCATAAGCTTTCAATTTTTTTTTGCATCATCAGGGTTTCAAATACAGTGAGACCCCCACATGCGGACACAACAACCTGCAGACAATTCAACATAAGGTCACTTATCTTATCATAAAAAATTATTAAAAATGACCCAACATGAGGACACTGACTCAACATAGGGGCATTTTGTTATAAAATTGCAATTAAATTTCAGGCCAAATTACAAGAAACAGATATTTCCAACCCTAAAATTGATGTAAGCAAAGTTCTTTGCCATTTTTCTTACCAATTTACCATCCATTTTGCTAATATTAAAAAATTATCTTCTAATTAAAAACTATATGATGTAAGTCTAGGTGAAAATGAGACTCGTCTTAGGGACATTTTGACTTGGGGACACTCTTGATGCACCAATTATGTCCGCATCTTGGGGTCTCACCATATACTGTAGAGAAAACTAGTATTGGTCATGTTCAGAAGCACCTACAGCTAAATAAACAGCTTTCCATAAGTTTTTAAGCTCATGCCTCAGACCTCAATATACACATTCTACACAAAATTATCAAACAGAGGGACAGTTCAGCATCTTTTGCCTTCTCAGATTTTAAAATTGGAAGCTCATTATAGAGTGTGTTCAGCTTGAGTTTGGATGAACATATTGCACCACAAAATATATTTTAATATTTGCACAGGGTTTCATCATGCATTTTCAGATATTCTCAGAAACAATCCTGCACTATAAGTTCTTTTGGATCTTGTAACCTTTCAATCTATATTTTAGAAAAATGCAAATTTAATATTTGATCATGAGCTCACCTTCCCTGGTGAACAAGATTGGCTCCAATGCTGCTTTCTTTGGTGGTGGTTTCCTCTACAATTATGGTCATTATCATGATTTCCATAATCATGCTCACCTTGATTTTCACCCCTGCCTTCTCCATCATCACTGTATCCTGCACTGATGCATCTCCCTGATTCAGAGCAAAACACCTGGAATATCAATTTTGATCACTATTTAATTATGCTTAAAATATTCTACACACTGCAAATCTAACCTGCCCAAAAGGACACCTGACATTTGTGGTGTCACTCATGGAAATTGGATGCCAGAGGCATCTTCCTGAATCCAGATCATAAACCTGCACAAAAGTGGTGTTCTTTATTAAATTTTACTGGCTTTGCATTGTTTTTAGGTTGGGAGACATACTGTGCCATCAGGGCATGATACTCTTTGTCCACTTCCATGTCTACCTGATGGTTCTTGGTCAACACAAGTGTTTGACATTGAACAATAAACCTGAAAAAGGTTTTTCTGTGAAAGTGGCATTTTAGTGAGGAACATTAATTTCTTACTGTTCCTGTAGGACATGAGACAGAACCCCCATTTTGCTGTGGATTTAAGTTCATCTTCCCATCACAGTCACTGTTCAGATCTATGCACCTTCCTGATTCTACACAGAAGACCTGCATGATAGTAGTGTAAAAAGAGAAATGTCACACAGTGGCTAAAATGCATAATCAATTGAGTCAGAGATGAAATGTAGAAAGCCAGGATTACACACCATTCCAAAAGGGCAAGATGAGTCAGAAGTCCTGGTGCACTGGGTGTTGGATGTACATGAGTTTGTTTCCACACAGAAAAACTGAAATATAATATTCCAAGATATTTACATATTTTGAGAATTCTTTTGGCATTACTAGTATTAAGAAGGGAGACACGTAATGAGATGGAGGGAAGAATATTTAGGTTAAAAATCTTTTGAAATATATAGAGGATGGACAAACCAGGTTATAAGAAAATGAAATAATGACTCACTAGTCCTTGAGGACAGCTGAATCCTGTACCATTGTAGTCACTTGGTTGCCCAAAAACTCCACAGGCTACACCAAGCAACACAAAAAGGAAACAGCTTCCTTTTGTCATTGTTTCTGCATGTCCTAAAAGAGCAGTGCACAAAATGTTTATGGAAATATATACCTGCACATCAAAAAGTAACTGAGCATCTCCCATCAGTTGATTCAACTGCTGATGAGAGAATTTTAAATGTACACTGTGATGCTTCATTCACTTCAGAGCAGCATACAAATTCACTGGCAAACAATCAAAGTAAGCCCAACTCCCACAGGTTTAGTCTTGGAAGCAACTGTGTTAAGCCTTGTTGCCTCAGCATTTTAGCACCTGCAAGGTGAAGGCTTTTCTGCATGCAAAATTGATGCACCTTTGGTCATTCCCAGGGGGTCACCAGGCATCAATGTATTACCATGGGAACCTTCACAACAACATTCAACCCCTGGGTCTCATGCATTCTTTTATAACACACAAACACACACTTCTTGGAAGAATAATTCGGATAATCCTATATTATGCACCCTTTCAAACGGAATATGGTTTTAAAAAACTCAAATTCACAAAATAGGTCCTAATCTGAGATTCTCATCACAGTATTTGAACCTTTTCACAACTAAAAGCCATATATGGGCAGGGATAAAAAATAACAATGTACAACTGTATTTTGGAAGAGTCTCATATTACAAAGATGGATGAGGATCATAGCAAAATAAATTCAAGTATGTAGGGTTTATGCATAGTTTAAAATGTTACCTAAGGTAAGGAGCAGAATGTTTGCAAATCACAGCTGTTCATATTTTAATTGCCCAGTTGTGTATGCTGTAGCTCTAAAAAAATAAAATTAGTTGAAACAAGTTAAGCTTATATATTCTAAAACATGCACATCACAATCCTGTGAAAGAATTGCAAGTGTAGATAAGCAACTCAAGTCAAAAAGACTGATATAAATACCGTAAATATTTAGTTTAAAAGTCAAAACACCATTCTCCCTTCATCATATATCCATAGAAGGTGGTCCATACACATATACAGCCTTCATCCGTTAAGGGTTGACTGTACAATAATGCATGGACAATAAGGATTGTTGTATATATAATACTTTATCGTACTGTTTTACAATGATAGATAATTTCTATTAAAAAAAATAAAGCAACAATATGATGCTCTTGTGTTTCCTTCAAGAAAGATCAAATACCAAACTGCCTATATTCAGGTGAACATGATATAGAGGCGGATGGACGGTGGACCAAAACACCTGAAACGATTTTCACTCACGATAGCTCAGAAACAAATGAAGCTGAATCAACAAGAAACAAAATAGCGCAAATGTGTCATGTGTCAGGATGGCCGAGCGGTCTAAGGCGCCAGACTCAAGCGCAAGCTTGCTACGAGAGTAGTCATGAGCGTTCTGGTCCTCGTATGAGGGCGTGGGTTCAAATCCCACTTCTGACAGACTTTTTTCCCGGCGCGATAATATTCAACTCATATATTTTTTTTAGTATGACAAACCATATCCGTTTTAATGATTATATAATTAATAATGTAAGGCATTTTGTTGATGATCTATACAGATATCTTGCATCATGTGTTGTTCATCGCAGACTCCAAAAATGCAATCATAATTTAATTATAATTTATTTTTATTGCGGGAAATGATTTGTGCTGTTGCACGATGCTGCTTGAAAGAAGTACGGTGTATTATACTGTACTGCACTATTTTGGCAGTATTAGTTGGCGCAACGTTTTGTTTTTGGTGTCAGAATTGGAATAGCAGAAATTGTCCCGAGCTCACATACTCACGTACTCGTTTTGAATGTGTTATTTATTTATTTACTGCGGGGCATATACGCATTCAGCGCTATTATACAGTACAGTAAATACTGTACATTCCTCGATGGAAAAATAAACAACTATCTTTTCCCACGCATGAACTAACACATATACATGTATAAAGTATACTGAAGGAAGTAGAAATTTATTCATTTAAAAAGAAGAACGCGAACTATATGATAAATAAAATGTTTACTGATGTTTTAATTTTTGTTTTCCCATCGTCACATCCTAATAATTCTCAGCTTGAATAATAAGTACACATAATAATTTATAATAATCTAATGCTCTATATATACAACATATTCTCGGGAAAACCATCGTCGCCAGCATGAATGCGATTGGTATGTGGAAACTTGCTGATGCAAAAATAATACACGAGATAAAAGCAACATAGAGGGTATAATAAATATTTTGGTGATTATATATTTGCGCTGCGGGATATGGGGCATTTGAACAAAGGGTGCGAATTAAATGAATATACAGTAGTAAGTTAGGCAAAATACATATGATGAGCAAAATTTGGGGGAAATAACTGAACTTGGAGTATTTGACTTACAATAATAGCTCAGTAAAAAAAAATCAAGCTGCAGCAATAAAACAATACAAAATGAAGCAATACAATTGTTTGATTTCCATTTGAATCATCAATGATTTTATGGCCCCATAAATTAATGCCAAGGCATGGTCACAAGTATCACAACTGAAAAAACTTCACCAAAAAAGGGTGGCAGACAACTCCTTCCACCAATGATAAGCTGCTGCTGTTCTCCAGAGCTATTTTTTTTAAGGGATAAATGGGGCACAGGACCAGCAATAATTTAACCATAGCAAACTAATTCATGCTACCTTCAAGAAGAGGGTGATGCACACATTACCAAAATTTGGCAATTAACAAACAGTATACAGTATATACAAGCTTGAGTCTGGGTGCCAAAATAACTCCATGGCTCCTGCATATGTATAATACTGACCCAATGAATGCAATTTTTTTCTGGTCAACTGGATTGCTCCAAATCAGCAGTTTCACTCATTCAGAACCAGCAAAAATCATAAAAAAACATGAGGTCATAGAAATAATCATGAAAAATGCACTGTTGCAGATGAAGTGCACCCTGTTGTGAAAATGTCCAGCTGACCATCATGATCAATGACTGAAACTGATCTAATTTATTGTCAATTTGAATGTTAAGTTAAGTTTATTGTAGTGTGCAGCAGTGAATGTACAGTGTCTGCTATACATGCAGTAATTAACTAAATAACTCATTCAAAACAACTTTTTTTACAAGAAAAGTTCTGGCATTCCAGCAAAAACAAAACTTTTGTGCAAACATAGTGCAGTATTAATATACAGTACTGTACACACATATTATCTACATTAATTCTTAGAAGCAGCCTCACCAGCAAAAATCCTTTCCCGCCATAAAAATAAGTCAGCAATGAAATCATTGCAATTTTATTGAACCTTGCGATTAACAAATTATAATTCAAGATGTTTATATAGAGAGCATTAGGAAAAAGCCTTGCTCAAGTTATAGAAGTGATTAAATTTATACGTTTAGTTATACTGATACTGTACTGGGAAAGGAACAATAACGGAACATTATTTGCGGGAAAAAAGTTTGTCAGAAGTGGGATTTGAACCCACGCCCTCATACGAGGACCAGAACGCTCAGGGCTACTCTCATAGCAAGCTTGCGCTTGAGTCTGGCGCCTTAGACCGCTCGGCCATCCTGACACTTGAATGCTTAGGGGCTAAATTACACGTTATTGAACCTTTGAAACAGAAACAAGCGTAAACATTCTCATATGCTGTTGCTCAAATGATGTTATTGTGACGTCGACGTATTCACATTCCATTATCTACACTCTCTGTGAATAGTATAGTACAGCGAAATGACACGTACATAAAATAATCTCATTGTATATTCCACCATTCAACGTGATGATCCACGCCAGGAAAGTGTCCGAAATGCAAAAAAAAATATACACACGCGCACACGTACAGCACCACACGAACAGTGCAGGTATTTTCGAAAACCGACAAAAATTTTTTAATTTTCAGTTTTGACGAATGACGATAGTTGGAAACCTCACGCGCGGTTCGCACCATCAGGCGAAAAATACGTCTCGTTTTTTTATTTTTTTGTGCTGAAAAGTACGTCATTATTGCTGTTGAACCTCAATAGAAGTTTCCGTTTGATGAAAATTTGTCACTTTTTGGATGATGAGGTTTATTGATGCTGGATGTTGCGTGTGACTCTGCTTCTGGTAGATCCCCTGTAGTAATACACATGAGCATTTTAAATAACAAAGAAAATAATTTCAGAATACAAAGATAAGCTGCAAAGAAAAAATAATTGATCAATTTTGGCTGTTTGTATTTTAAAAAGTGGTGATGTGTACATTCAATCAGTGTCCTCACCAACTCTGGTGACCAAAGTTGCAGTGGAAGCAGTGGGATACATAGTCTCAGTGCTTTTGGATCCAGCCATTCCTGCATTTTTCAACTCAAAATTGTAGGATGAAGCAGAGGTGTGAGAGATCTTGGATATTCCTGATTTGGCTTTCAGCCATTTGAAGAAGTCTATGGACCAGGAATGAACTATTGATGAGTCAATTTGATCTTCAGGGTAGCCACCAGTCGCCAAGCTTGTGATTATGGTCACAATCAACCCAAATAAAAGCCCAGTGCACATGTACAGAAGGTATGATATCCTGAAGATTTTCCTGAAGCCCAATCTGCAAGTGGTGAAAGAAAAAGAGTATTATGTTACAGAGTGCCATTGCCTATGATGGGGATAATAAGTAGCTTGAAAGCATTTCCAGACTAAAAAAACATGCCTCGTTGATGATCGGATTGGCAAAATAGTAGATTCCATTAATAAAACAGTATAACTATGCAGAAAATTCCATATTCATGAAAAAATACAAATGGAAAGAAGAAAAAAAATCAAAATACAACTTCCCATGATTCAGACTAAAATCAAAGGCTAGCATAACTCAGGTGTTTGAATTTACTAATCTGTGAGCAACAATAGTCAGTTTTAGTACATGTCCTCAACCAGTACAGTATTCCAAAACCTTTTTGGGCCCATATGGACCAGCAGCAAATTTCCAAAGAATTATTTGGGGACATGGCTAATTTCCAAAATATTTTCTGCAGGCTGGCAACATTTTGTTAACTTTTTGCAGACTTAATAAGGCTCTGTTTAAAATACTTTATGACAGGTATTTAAAAAGTTTCTGCTTTTTTGTCAAAAAACAAATGTATCAGCAATTGATTGTTTTAAAAAAAATTGAGGAATATGGGATTGAAGATAGGTTTTCTCAGATCAAGAGAAAAATTAAATTAGAGGATTTCAACAGGTGAACATTTGTCAGAGCAAAGCATTATCAAGAGAAAAGCCAACTTTTAGTCTTCATCTGATAATTTCATCTGTCATTTTTTTTTTACAAAATTTCAGATAAAAATAACGGATTTTTTTCATTCCATTGATAAATGTATTGTGCTCATGAAAATGTTCCCTCTGATAAGCAAACCTTTCTGGGGACCAATGCCAATCCACAGACCACAGGTTGGATTCGGGAATTATATTGGGGGAATACCGGCCTATATACAATTAAAATGACTCACACAAGAAAACACCCCGGAATTCAATAAATTGTAATGTTTGCATGGTCACTGAAAGATCATCTATGTATATTACAGTAACTATTTGCACATTGCCTCTGATTATGGAAATTTTGTTGTCAATTTATCACCAGTCTGGGGATCTGGAATCTGCATGAATAAAATTTACAGAAGGCAGAAATGAATTGAATTACTCATTCCAGTCCTCAACAGGAGCAGAAACACTTGAATTGCTGAAGGCTATTTCACTGACATCCCAGTCAGGAGGACAGATTTCAACAAATGATTTCAGAGGCACAGGTCCTGGTACACCATCAATGTAGCTTCCAAAGCCAAGGAATCCTGACACAAATAGAGATACTGCTGAGCCAGCAAATACCCCTGGAACATTAACAAATGGCAGCAGGACTGCTGCAACAAAAAGGGTCAGGGCTGGGGCAGCCAACACTGAAGTGACTGTGATGCAAACTTGCAGGACTCCACCAAACTTTCCAGCAATGAAGGAGAGACCAATGGATATCAATCCATAGACAACACCTATGTGAACAAAAGCCATGGAAGTATTCAGATTAGTACTTAGCAAATTTTTTCGGTACAGGGTCATCAGCCAGTCGTTCAAATCACAGTTGCACCCCCACTGGTCATCAAGCACTGGTTGGTCTAACCACCAGCCAGGGAAGTCCTTGGCCTCGCCAATCCCCAGTCCACCAAACTGCGGTCTGGTCACCCAATTGTTGGGGCACCTGAACAATTGGGTGACAAGAATCATGCTGATTCTTTCTAGAATTTGGTGAGCAGAATGGTACCCTACTACAGATTATTTTTTTTTTAAAATTTCATCTTATAAAAATTTTCACAAAAAGTAAAAACTCATCAAACCCAACATAACTTAACCTAACATATCCTAACCTAACCTAACCTAACCAACCTAAACTAACGTAACATATCCTAACCTAACCAACCTAAACTAACTTAACATAAACTGACCTAACCTAACATTGCTGAAATTTTGAAACAAAATCTGTGGTAAGATACCATTCTGCTCATTGGATTCTGAAAAACAATCAGCATGATTCTTGTCACCCAATTGTTAGGGTGCCCCAACAATAGGGTGACCAAACCACAGTTTGGTGGGCTGGGGATTGGCAAGGCCAAGAACTGCCCTGGCTGGCGGTTGGACCAACCGGCGTTTGATGACCGGCGGGTGCGCAACTGTGAATTGATTGACTGGCAGCTGACCGGACACAAATTTATTCATACCCAAGGCTTTAGTAATCCAACTTGCTTGTGATTCTGAGAGATTTTCTCCCCACTTGGTTTGCTTAATTCCATCTTCCCATGTAATGGCTGCCAAGGAATTCAGTCCTGAAGACAGTGTACTGCAAAAATCAGCAGAAGACGGATTCAATTATACTATGCCTCAAATTTTGAAGGCCTAAATGTAATAAAGTATCCCAAAATGAACACACACATGTCGTTCAAGTACTGTAAATCTAAGTCTCTGCTGGTACTTTAAATGCTCTCTGCAAAAACATCATACACGCTCTGTACCTTGATCTTTCACAGTAAGTTGTGATCTTCACAAAAAATCATCCTTACTCCAAACAAAAGAAAATGTTTCAAGTAAATAAAGTGTTTTANAGTACTAATCTGAATACTTCCATGGATTTTGTTCACATAGGTGTTGTCTATGGATTGATATCCATTGGTCTCTCCTTCATTGCTGGAAAGTTTGGTGGAGTCCTGCAAGTTTGCATCACAGTCACTTCAGTGTTGGCTGCCCCAGCCCTGACCCTTTTTGTTGCAGCAGTCCTGCTGCCATTTGTTAATGTTCCAGGGGTATTTGCTGGCTCAGCAGTATCTCTATTTGTGTCAGGATTCCTTGGCTTTGGAAGCTACATTGATGGTGTACCAGGACCTGTGCCTCTGAAATCATTTGTTGAAATCTGTCCTCCTGACTGGGATGTCAGTGAAATAGCCTTCAGCAATTCAAGTGTTTCTGCTCCTGTTGAGGACTGGAATGAGTAATTCAATTCATTTCTGCCTTCTGTAAATTTTATTCATGCAGATTCCAGATCCCCAGACTGGTGATAAATTGACAACAAAATTTCCATAATCAGAGGCAATATGTGCAAATAGTTACTGTAATATACAGATGATCTTTCAGTGACCATGCAAACATTACAATTTATTTAATTCCGGGGTGTTTTCTTGTATGAGTCATTTTGATTGTTTATAGGCCGGTATTCCCCCGATATAATTCCCGAATCCAACCTGTGGTCTGTGGATTGGCCTTGGTCCCCAGAAATGTTTGCTTATCAAAGGGAACATTTTCTTGAGCACAATACATTTATCAATGGAATCAAAAAAATCCGTTATTGTTATCTGAAATTTTGTAAAAAAAAAATGACAGATGAAATTATCAGATGAAGACTAAAAGTTGGCTTTTCTCTTGATAATGCTTTGCTCTGACAAATGTTCACCTGTTGAAATCCTCTAATTTAATTTTTCTCTTGATCTGAGAAAACCTATCTTCAATCCCATATTCCTCAATTTTTTTAAAAACAATCCATTGCTGATTCATTTGTTTTTTTTTTACAAAAAAAACAGAAACTTTTCAAATTCCTGTCATAAAGTATTTCAAACAGAGCCTTTTTAAGTCTGCAAAAATTTAACAAAATGTTGCCAGCCTGTAGAAATTATTTTGGAAATTAGCCTGTCCACAAATAATTTTTTGGAAATTTGCTGGTCCTTATGGGCCCAAAAAGGTTTTGGAATACTGGTTGAGGACATCTAATGACTATTGTTGCTCACAGATTAGTAAATTCAAATACATGAATTATGCTAGCCTTTGATTTTAGTCTGAATCATGGGAAGTTGTATTTTGATTTTTTTTTCTTCTTTCCATTTGTATTTTTTCATGAATATGGAATTTTCTGCATAGTTATACTGTTTTATTAATGGAATCTACTATTTTGCCAATCCGATCATGAACGAGGCATGTTTTTTTAGTCTGGAAATGCTTTCAAGCTACTTATTATCCCCATCATAGGCAATGGCACTCTGTAACATAATACTCTTTTTCTTTCACCACTTGCAGATTGGGCTTCAGGAAAATCTTCAGGATATCATACCTTCTGTACATGTGCACTGGGCTTTTATTTGGGTTGATTGTGACCATAATCACAAGCTTGGCGACTGGTGGCTACCCTGAAGATCAAATTGACTCATCAATAGTTCATTCCTGGTCCATAGACTTCTTCAAATGGCTGAAAGCCAAATCAGGAATATCCAAGATCTCTCACACCTCTGCTTCATCCTACAATTTTGAGTTGAAAAATGCAGGAATGGCTGGATCCAAAAGCACTGAGACTATGTATCCCACTGCTTCCACTGCAACTTTGGTCACCAGAGTTGGTGAGGACACTGATTGAATGTACAAATCACCACTTTTAAAAATACAAATATAACAAAAATTGATCAATGATTTTTTCTTTGCAGCTCTTCATTATTTTCTGAAATTATTTTCTTTGTCATTTAAAATGCTCATGTGTATTATACTACAGGGGATCTACCAGAAGCAGAGTCACACGCAACATCCAGCATCAATAAACCTCGTCATCCAAAAAGTGACAAATTTTCTTCAAACGGAAATTTCTATTGAGGTTCAGCAGCAATAATGACATACTTTTCAGCACAAAAAATAAACAAAACGAGACGTATTTTTCGTCTGGTGCGAACCGCGCGTGAGGTTTCCAACTATCGTCATTCGTCAAAACTGAAATTTAAAAAAATTTTGTCGGTTTTCGAAAATACCTGCACTGTTCGTGTGGTGCTGTGTGCGCGTGTGTATATTTTTTTTTTGCATTTCGGACACTTTCCTGGCGTGGATCATCACGTTGAATGGTGGAATATACAATGAGATTATTTTATGTACGTGTCATTTCGCTGTACTATACTATTCACAGAGAGTGTGGATAATGGAATGTGAATACATCGATGTCACAATAACATCATTTGAGCAACAGCATATGAGAATGTTTACGCTTGTTTCTGTTTCAAAGGTTCAATAACGTGTAATTTAGCCCCAGAGCATTCAAGTGTCAGGATGGCCGAGCGGTCTAAGGCGCCAGACTCAAGCGCAAGCTTGCTACGAGAGTAGCCATGAGCGTTCTGGTCCTCGTATGAGGGCGTGGGTTCAAATCCCACTTCTGACAGACTTTTTTCCCGCAAATAATGTTCCGTTATTGTTCCTTTCCCAGTACAGTATCAGTATAACTAAACGTATAAATTTAATCACTTCTATAACTTGAGCAAGGCTTTTTCCTAATGCTCTCTATATAAA